AGCGGTTCACAACCCCCTTTCCCTTCCCCTCCCCACAACAGACACCCTGTGAGGTGGGTGGGGCTGAGAGAGCTCTTGACAGAACTGCCCTTGAGAGAACAGCTCTCAGAGAACTGTGGCTTGCCCAAGGTCACCCAGCTGGCTGCTTCTGGAGGAAGAGTGTGGAATCAAACCCGTTTCTCCCGGATTTGAATCCATGCACTTAACCCCTACACCAAATCGGCTCTCAACAAAGACCAACAAAGTTTAATTCTGGGTATAAGGTGCCACTGGAGTCAAACTTTGTTCTCTTGCTTCAGACGGACACAGCGATCCACCTGAAACCTTGTTGATACTCATCCTCCCCCCCTCCAACCACCCCTCAACTCACCCTTCAAGGCCCAGTGTTGCTGGCTACCTGTGCACCCCCCACCCCCAATTCAAGCGAAAGACGGGCACGGAGAAGCTGATGTGGGGTTTGCCGGCCATCTGGCTCACGCCGCTCACCTGGCAGGAGGAGGAGGTCCTTGAAGCGAGCACACAGGGCGTGGTATTCACAGGTCTTCATGGTATTCAGGTCTACGGGGGGTGTCCAGCACACACTCTCCTTGATACCTGGAGCGGGGGTGGGTGGGTTTGATGATGGGGACATCCGTGGCAAGAGCGAAAAATCAGTGGAGGGAGAGGAAAGGGATGGTATCCCCAAGGTGGCCTACGGCAACATGTGCCTTGGTTTCTGAACCAATGAGAAAAAAATAAGCCCTCCCAGTCCCACCCCCAAAGGGCCGCTTGTTACATTCGCTAGGGCGGGGGGGTCCCCAACCTGTTGCCCACGGGCACCACGGCATCCCCCAACATTCTTTCTTGGTGCCCGCCAAGGTGGGGCTGGGTGGGGCTTTCACCCAGAAAGGCTTCTGATTGGCCATCAGAGAACTGTGCAGATTTTGAAAGACGCTGCTTTGAGAACAGCTGCCACCGCAGCGTGAGGATCTGCACTGTGTGGCTGAAGGCGAGGTGCGGCAGAAGAGAGGAGGGAGAAGAAGAGATTGGATATACCCCGCCCTTCACTCAGAGTCTCAGAGCGGCTTACAAACTCCCTTTCCCTTCCTCTCCCCTCCCCACAACAGACACCCTGCGAGGCAGGCAGGGCTGAGAGAGCTCTTTCCAGAACTGCCCTTGAGAGAACAGCTCGGGCAGAACTAGGGCTTGCCCAAGGTCATCCAGCAGATGCAAGTGGAGGAGTGGGGAATCAAACCCGGTTCTCCCAGATTAGAGTCCGCACACTGAACCACTACACCAAACTGGCTCTCTTATCAGGACTATGACTTGCCCAAGGTCATCCAGCAGGTGCAAGTGGAGGAGTGGGGAATCAAACCCGGTTCTCCCAGATTAGAGTCTGCGCATTCTCCACTTACACCAGACTGGCTCTCTTATCAAAACTAGGGCTTTCTCAAGGTCATCCAGCAGGTGCAAGTGGAGGAGTGGGGAATCAAACCCGGTTCTCCCAGATTAGAGTCTGCGCACTTAACCACTACACCAAACTTATCAGAACTAGAGCTTGCCCAAGGTCATCCAGCAGGTGCAAGTGGAGGAGTGGGGAATCAAACCTGGTTCTCCCAGATTAGAGTCCGCACACTTAACCACTTACACCAAACTGGGAGCTGTTCTGAGGCTGCACCCATCATCCTGCTGCGTGAAGATTCCCAGAGGTTTCTGCAGGTGCAAAAAGATGAGGGACACCGGGCCGCAGGAGGAGGGCAAAGGAGGAGAATGGGAGTATCGAATGAGGCCGTGCGTTTGGGGCTGGGGTGGGGGTGATCAGGACGACAGTGAAGCCCGCGGAAACAGAAATATGAATAACTGTCCAGCGGCTCAAGCTGCCACAGTTCCGTGATGCCAAGGGTGCGGCCAGAAGGCCATGCATTTGGCAGCACAGGAGTTTGGAAAGCGAAGTCACCGGGCGTCGCTCTACCTATTTCTCTCTTTCAGAAGCCGGCCACTAGCCGAGCTGACGGTCGGAGTCCATGCAGGGCTAACGTGAGGGTGGGGGGTGGGGGGTGGGGGGGAATGGCTGCATTAAGGCACCACGAGGGTCCGCTCACCGTCCACCACGTCTGCCTTCTCCATGTCCCCCTGGCTACGGGGGTCGGCGCCTTCCGCTCCCACTGCAGGAGTGCCGTTCGTGACAATGGTAACCTTGGAAGGATACAGGAGTCAACAGCCGTTCTTTAGCACCCCCCTAGGCCAGCAGTCTTGGGCAGCACCAGCCTTACAACGACCACCCTGTGTTTCCATCCCCACCTAAGATCGGTATCAGCGAGTGGGAAAGGCACAGAAACGAGGGAAACCTTGGGGGAAAAAAAACCCCGGCTGTACCCACAGATACCGCACAAGGGTGAGTCGACACACAGTTAAAAATGAGATGAGGTTTCAATGGTCCCACGTCGTGGTTAACAGTCACGGCTTGGGGGGAGGGGGAAACAAAGATCTTTAGCTGAGCAATGGAAGGAGCAATTTACAGAGTCTCCCAGTCCTTCGAGGAAAGCCTCAACGGACATCTGCTGAGGATGCTTCCAACCCCCAACAACCCCCCCCCCGGGCCTGCGTCTAGTCCAGGGGTGGCCAAACTGTGGCTCAGGAGCCACACTCTCTCTCTCTTTCGGTCTCTCTTCCTTCACCCCTCTCCCTCCCCCATCTATTTGCTCTCTCTCTTTCTCTCTCTCTTTCCACCTCTCGTTCTTTCTTTCCACCTCTCTCTCTCTTAGACACATAAACATCGTTAGCAAACAAATAAATCTCACCGGACAAATACATATCATTATCAGCAAGGGTCATTTCCTGCAGGAGTGCACAGGAGCAGAGCTCCGGGAGTAAAGAGCACAAGGGACGGGCACATGCAACAAGCCCCACCCCCTGCTCCCAGCAGCCCTCAGTCAGAGCAAGAAGCAGCCAGGTAAGCTGCAGAGCCCCCCCCCCAAACCCCCCAGCCCAAAACAGTCCAGTGGCACCTTTAAGACCAAGTTTTATTCAGGTACAAGCTCTCCCTCCTCTGTGAGGACAGATCTGCGCGTTCCCCCTCCTCCCCCGCCAATAGCTAGCAATCCAAAACAGTCCAGTGGAGCCTGAGTGGTGGGTGTTGCCTTCTGACACACTTCCGGTGATGTCAGGGGGTGTGGCATATGCAAATTAGTTATGCAAATGAGATATGCTAATGAGCTCCTGCACCACTTTTTCTACGAAATGACCCCTGATTATCAGTATCTGTTTTTACCCCCTTTTGTTTTTATTTTTGGCAGTCTCGTTTAACGTTTAAAAAAAAGCAAATTTGCATGTTTTCCAATAAAAATACGTGTGTGTGATATCTGTTCACGGCTTGTGGCTCTCAAACATCTGACGTTTATTCTGTGTGGCTCTTACGTTGAGCAAGTTTGGCCACCCCTGCGCCAGACTCTGTGGTACACGGAATGTGTGTGGGTGTGTGGGTGTCCCTGCTCCCTGGGCAGGTAAGGCTCACCTGTTCACACTGCCCATAGAGATCGATGAAGACGTAGCAGGGGCTGGGGATGTCTTGCGCGGCCACTCCCCGGTCCATCCCGTTGACGTAGAGGTGGAGGCAGCTGCTGGAGTCCACCAGGAGGCCCAGCACCGTCCCTTCGGGGCAGGTGTCCAAGTTGGGACCGTAGTTCTCAACGATCTGCAGCGGGGCAGAGAGGGGGAGAGACGGCTTCGCTCAGGGCTGTGACGGAAAGGGGGGGGCTGTCTGGGTGGGCTCCAGAAACTCTGCCCGAGACAGCCCCGCCCTATGGCCACCAAGGCCACTACAGCGGTTCTTTCCAGGTCATAAACTGGAAGAGTGCTTACAGTCAGGGCTATTTTTGGACAGGAACGCACAGGAACGGAGTTCCGGCTGGCTTCAGAGTTGGCCACACCCACTACACCCAAGCCAAGGGAAGGCAGTTTAAACTGCCTCCCCTCCCCTCCAAGGGCCGGCTTGCCCGGGCCCCTCACAGCCGTGGGGTACCCGGGCAAGCCAAGGGAAGGCATGGGGGTGTGGTCTAATAATGAGTTTCCGCTGTTGGGTGTGGCCTATTATGCTAATGAGTTCCTGCTGGGCTTTTTTCTACAAAAAGAGCCCTGCTACAGTACAGTTCTGAACTTACTGAGAAGTTAGAGCAAGGACGACACAGCGACACCTGGGACTCCTCTACAAAGAGGGTGTGTGTGTGTGCACTGGGAACCTTGAGACACCTCCAAGTTCTCCTTCACTCCAGAGGGAACAGGAGCCCTTGCTCAGTGACGGAGCAGCTGCTTGGCATGCAGAAGGTCCTGGGTTCAGTCCCCAGTGTCTCCGGTTCATGGATCTCAGGCAGCAGGAGCTGGAGAAACCCTGCCAGTCAGGGGAGACTGGGGAGGGGCCATGGCTCAGTGAGAGCCTCTGCTTGGCATGCAGAAGGTCCTGGGTTCAGTCCCCAGTGTCTCCGGTTCATGGATCTCAGGCAGCAGGAGCTGGAGAAACCCTGCCAGTCAGGGGAGACTGGGGAGGGGCCATGGCTCAGTGAGAGCCTCTGCTTGGCATGCAGAAGGTCCTGGGTTCAGTCCCCAGTGTCTCCGGTTCATGGATCTCAGGCAGCAGGAGCTGGAGAAACCCTGCCAGTCAGGGGAGACTGGGGAGGGGCCATGGCTCAGTGAGAGCCTCTGCTTGGCATGCAGAAGGTCCTGGGTTCAGTCCCCAGTGTCTCCGGTTCATGGATCTCAGGCAGCAGGAGCTGGAGAAACCCTGCCAGTCAGGGGAGACTGGGGAGGGGCCATGGCTCAGTGAGAGCCTCTGCTTGGCATGCAGAAGGTCCCAGGTTCAGTCCCCGGCATCTCCAGTTTAAAAGACCAGGCAGGAGGTGATGGGGAAGACCGTTCTCGGCCTGAGACCCTGGAGAGAGAGCTGCCGCTAGTCTGAGTAAAGAAGACCGACGCTGAAGGACCGAGGGTCTGATTCGGTAGAAGGCAGCTTCGTGTGCGAGACAGGACGGAGCTCAGCAGAGCCAGGCTCTCTTCAGAGTTGTTCCGTCACAGCCCTGAGCCAGGCTCTCTCCGGTGGGCTCTGGGCCAGTCACTCTCTCGCAGCCTGACCTAACTGACAGGGCTGCTGTGAGGATAAGACGGGGGAAGAGGAGAGCCCCCCCCCCCAGCTCGTTGCGGAAAGGTGAAGATAAAAATGCACTCGTCTGTTTACATGCTCTCTGCCTCTCGATGAGGGAGAAGGGCACACGGAGAAAGGTGGAGAAAGCGACAGACAAAAAAAAGAAGAAGAGAGAAATGCACAGTTGCCACCGGGACAGGCGGCCGGAGATTGGTTAGTGCAGCCCCCGCCTGCCCTTGCTGGCCTCACCTTGAGGGAGTTGTGGAAGACCGAGTCACGCTGCAGCAGCCACGTGGAGCGCTTCAGGGAGCAGGCCGTGGCGGGGAAATTGAGCCGCTCGGGAGAGCTGCCGATGACCCCCAGAGAGAGCGAGGAAGTCCACTGTGGGTTCAGGGAATCGATCTGAAACTAACAGGCAAGCAGACAGGGCACAAGCAGTGAGTTCTTCTTGCACCGTCAGGAAAAAACCCAGCACATGCTGCCCCCCCCCGCACACACCCCCAAGCCCAGATTTAAAGGCTCCCTTAAAAGTGGCCCTCGCTGTTGCAGCCCTACGTGAAATCATCACACCTGACCGTTTTGCTCTGCAATGACCTCACTTCCCTTCTAGAGAGGTGGCCCCCAAGGGACCTCCCGTGAAACATTAACTTCTGGCAGTGGCATTGTGACGTGCTTGCTTATAGGGGAAATGGGTTTTACCTTTTAAACACTCTCTGTGTATATAAACTTGGTAGTTTTCTGCTGCCACCATGAATTAAAAATTCCAGTTCTCTCTCTTTTGGTAGTATGACCGAGGGTCTGGGCACTTCAGAGGACTATGTGGCCCTGAGGAAGTACTGCACTGATTTCCAGGATAAGTTTTTTAAAAAATGATTTATTTAATAAAGAACAAAATAGGTTTCCGGTTATTTTGAACAATTGCTGACGAAAGGAACTTGTAAATATAAATGGCAAAGACTGGTGCTACAGTCTCTCAAACTCCAAACTCCACTCTGACAGGCTTATACAGGCATATATATAGCCACACAGGCTAGTCTCTTTGTTTTATTCACACTGAATAGAATCAACTCTCTTAGTCACACAGACTAAACTGTTTGTCTTATTCACGCAGAATTAGACTCAGCATTCCATAGTCACACAGACTATGTTCTCTCTTCAAGCTTCACACACAGAATCCTTCATAACTCAGAGTCACAGACTCTCTTCAAAACTCTTCCATACTTGTCTTTCTCATACCACAGAATCTCTTCATAGACACACACAGAATCCTCTAAGACACCCCTCCTCCCACACGCTCAGTCAGCAGCCAATCAAATCACACTTGTCACCCTCTATCACTCTTCTCATATTATCGCATTCAAACAAAATTTTTAAAGGAACACACACACCAAAACATGGAATCATTACAGAAACAAATTAAATGACCCTCCAGGAGAGAAGAGCAGCAGGACACCCCTTCAGGCTAGAAAGCACAGGGAACAACCCCGATGGGGCTTGCCCCACCCCCACCCGACCCACCTGGAAGAGCTGCTGCGGAGGGAGGGGTTGAGCGACCACCACGATGCCCTGGTTGTAGCTGGAGACGCGGGTGGCCGTCAGGTTGCCGTTGGACAGCAGGATGTTCTTGCCGTGGTTCTCGAGGAACTGCATGGAGGACGTCACCGCGGGGACCTCGTTCTCACACTGCCAGAGAAAAGGGGGGGGGCGGACCAAGGAGGGTGGCTGGAGCTTTCAGGGGGAGAGGAAGAAGGCGGCCAGCCCCTTCCTCTGCCCCATCACGCTTTCTGGCCTTGCTCCATCTCCGCCTGGCTTCACTGTTTCTCCAGACTTTCCCCAACAGACCTTCTCAGTTTCCAGGGAAGGCTTTTACACCTTTATTTACTGAAAACATTGCCTATTCTGTCCTTCCTTCCTGGGCAACCAAAACCACCGTGAGCACAGAATCAAAAATTAAGCTCCCCTAAAGTCCTCCTGGACAGGGATCAATCAAAAACAGAGGCAAGAGGACCTTCCTGGGGCTGCGGCACCACGAGAAGAAAGGGCCATCTCTCGGCAGCGCCCACACAGGCTGGCATGCAAAGAACCTCTTCCGGAAGGGCACCCTCACCTCAGGGTTCAGATAGGAGGAGGCAGCCCTCACTAGACCCTGGGACCACCAGCTCCTCCCCACCCCAGGCTTGTAGCCAGGATCTTGTGGCTTGTGGAAAAAATTTTTTTTTCTGGTGGGGCTGAAGTTCTCCATGCAGGAAGAAAAGCCGTTTAGCCAATGGAAAGCTGTGACCAGGATAGAGCTCTAAACTGCAAGCTGTCAACCACTTTAGATGACAGTTCTCAGCTGCTGCAAGTGAATCACTTCTGCCAGCCTAAGAGACCATTCTGAGAACAAGCCGGCAGGTGGGGATGATGACTTCTATGGTCAAGAAAGATAACACTTCGGCAGAAGAACTCTCTGAAAGGAGACCAGTTTCTTGACACAGAGTTAGAAGGTATCCTAGAGGTCACCTACTCCAACCCCCTTACTCAGTGTGGGAATTGGTCAACTACAACACCCCACTCTGCTTAAAGGAGCACACACCTTCAAAAATGTTTTTAGAAGATTGAAAAAAGCATTTACAGGAAAAATTCTTGTGGGGCTGTGCCTTTAAGAAAGGGGGCAGAACCCCCCAAAGCCCCACCACAACTACGGGCCTGCCCCACCCCATCTGCACTCCATAAGCGCGAGCGGGCGGGGAGGACAGGACTCATGACCCGGGACACCACCCCTGACTCTTCTCTGAAGCACTTACTGGTATAGCTTCCTCCTCCTCCTCCTCTTCACTGAAGGGCTCTGAAGTGACCGAGGGAGGTTTGGTGCCATCCGCCTCTTCCAGCGTGCTGGAGCTCACGATGGAGACCGACGTGACCCGGCCGTAGAGATCCAGCACCACGTAGACATTCTGGAGGCAGAGAGACCGACGGGAAGACCTCCTCCACCCAGACAACCGTTCCCTCGCTGCCCTCTCGGCCTCAAGCTCCCCTCTTCCCTCAAAGCCCTTCTCTCTGCTCAGCCTCCCTGTCCACTGGGGACAAAGGCCAAAGGCACTAACGGCAGTTGCCTTCCCTATGAGGAAAGGTTAAAGTGCTTGGGGCTCTTTAGCGTGGAGAAACGATGGCTGAGGGGTGACATGATTGAGGTTTATAAGATTATGCCTGGGATAGAGCAGGTAGAGAAAGAAGGACTTTTCTCCCTTTCTCACAAGACAAGAACTCGTGGGCACTCCATGAAATTGCTGAGAGGTCGGGTTAGAACAGATAAAAGGAAGTCCTTCTTCACCCAAAGGGTGATGAACACGTGGAATTCACTGCCACAGGAGGTGGCGGCAGCTACAAGCATGGACAGCTTCAAGAGGGAATTGGATAAGCATATGGAGCAGAAGTCCATCAGTGGTTCTTAGTCACAAGGTATAGATAGGAGAACATAAGAACATAAGAGATGCCAATGTTGGATCAGGCCAAAGGCCAATCCAGTCCAACACTCTGTATCACACAGTGGCCAGAAATACCAGTGCCATCAGGAGGTCCAGCAGTGGGGCCAGGACATTAGAAGCCCTCCCACTGTTGACCCCCCCCCCCCCACCCCCAAGAAGACAAAGGTCTACCTGCCCCCGACCCTCCCTATCTATACCTTGTGGCTAATAGCCACTGATGGACCTCTGCTCCATATGCTTATCTAATTCCCTTTTGAAGCCGTTCATGCTTGTAGCCGCCACCACTTCCTGTGGCAGTGAATTCCAAGTGTTAATCACTCTTTGGGTGAAGAAGGACTTCCTTTTATCCATTCTAACCCGACCGCTCAGCCATTTCAGGGAGTGCCCACAAGGAGTTCTTGTATTGTGAGAAAGGGAGAAAAGTACCTCTTTCTCTACCTGCTCTATCCCAGGCATAATCTTGTAAACCTCGATCATGTCACTCCTCAGCCGTCGGTTCTCCAAGCTAAAGAGCCCCAAGCGCTTTTAACCTTTCCTCATAGGGAAAGTGTTCCAACCCTTTTATCATTCGAGCTCTCAGTCTGGGGCAAGGGATGCTCTGTATTCTTGGTGCCTGGGGGGGCTTCTAGTGTCCTGGCCCCACTCCTGACGGCGCCTGGTATTTCTGGCCACTGTGTGACAGAGTGTTGGACTAGATGGGCCATTGGCCTGATCCAACTTTGGCTTCTCTTATGTTCTTATGTGCCTCAGCCTCCGCCCAGAGCTCCCAGGAGGAAGCAGGAAGATACTGGAACCGAGAGGATTCACGACACAGACCGTCACGCTACACCAGGGGTCTCCAACATGGTGCCCGTGGGCGCCACGGGGCCTGCGAACACCTTTCCCGGCACTCCTCACGTGCTTTTAGAAAGTGGGCACAGCCGGGTGGGGATTTTGTCCAGCATGGCTTCTGATTGGCCCCGGGAGATTTGATTGGCTGTGCAGATTTTTTTTTTTTAATGTATCTTGGGCAGCAGTTGCCCACCACCGCACAAGGATCTACACGGTGTGCCCAAAGGAAAGCTGCAGTAGGCATTCCTATGGCTGCGCCCACCACGCCAAGTCAGAATTCCAAAGGCGCCTGCAGGCTCAAAAAGGTCGGGGACCCTGCCCTAGATGCCCACAAGTCTCCACAAGTCAAGAGAAGAAGAAGAGATTGGGTCTATACCCCATTTGTCACGACCCAAGGGAGTCTCAGAGCGGCTGACAAACTCCTCTCCCTTCTCCTCCCCACAACAGACGCCCTGTGAGGTAGGTGGGGCTGAGAGAGCTCTTTCGAGGACTGCCCCTGAGAGAACAGCCCTGAAAGAACTTGTGACTGACCCAAGGTCATCCAGCAGCTGCAAGTGGAGGAGTGGGGAATAAAACCCGGTTCTCCCAGATGAGAGTCCGCGCACCTGACCACTACATCTTTCGCCAGGGCTGGGATCGGCCCCTCACCTTAGCCACCCCAGTTGCTGCAGGCCCCATGTCTTCTCCGTCGATCAAGATGTGCATGGTGTCGTCAGTACAGCGCTTCACACCTATGCGGCTCCCCACCTGCCGGAAGAACCAGAGTCACTGCTGGACACGACGTTACCCGGCTGATCCCCAGCCCTTGCTGTCGGGTCAGAGCCGATCCCGACGGCGGTTGGTGCCTGCGCAGCGGAAGGCCCAGAGTGGGCCGGGACCTGGCAAACAACCTTCAGACAGCCATTTCCCCAGCCTCTCTGACACTCTCCTCTGAGCCTGGAATGCTTCCTTAACACATTGCCCAAAGAAGGGGAGCCATGCCGGTCTGCAGTGGAACGTCTAGATTCGAATCCAAGACCGCCACAGAGAACAACAAGGGTTTCGGGGGTTGAGCCTTGACTCTCGAAAGCTGGAGCCCCCATAATCTTGTTGGTCTCTAAGGTACTGCTGGACGCAAATCCAGCTCACCACCCAAAGTCTCCCCAGTTTCCCCCAGATGGCGCTTCTATCCACACGGCAACACTTGACGCAAGCTAGGCGCTCGTCTGCATTTACGCTGCATTTATTCGTTTACATCCCACTTTTCTCCTCACAGCTGGGATTCAAAGTGGCTTCGGACGTTGTTCTCCCGTCCGCCATTTTATCCTCACAGCAACCCTGTGTGGTAGGCCAGGCTGAGAGTTTCTGACGAGCCCAAGGTCACCCAGAGACCTTCGATGGCAGAACTGGGGATTTGAACCTGGGTCGCCCAGGGTCCTAAGTCCGCCACTCTGTCCACTACACCAGGCTGGTTCTTCCCACGTTCAGCAGGCAGAGCTGCTGCTGGACTCCTCTTGCTAAAAGAGGAACAGCATTTCAGGAGGTACCATGTACTGCAGCCGCCTGTTCAGTTACTGGCTCAGGGCTAGCAGGTAGCTCTCTGTCTGAGAAATCTGAGCCATCCCTCAGCACAGACTGGCTTACGACCTACCATCTGTTCAACTCAGGATATGCTCTTTGACAACCCGGACCGGGATTTAAGGGCAGGGACTTCACCACCTCTCCTCTGTTTCCCTTTCGCAAACCTACAATGATCTGCCTCTCCAATCAATTGTCGGAGGCCTTCGCCGCCACACTCACCCCAAGGCGCTCTAGTGAGCAGCCATAGTTATGCTTCTGCAGGATGCCGTTGCGCCGCACCTCGGTACCCGTCACCAGCCAGGTCACCTTGGAACGGAGTTCGAGGACGGTGGAGGGCAGCCCAGTGACCGCGTAAGGGGCGTCCAACGGCAGGAAGGTGGTCAACCCCACGTGAACCGAGCCGGACCACTTCTCATCCAGTTCGTCAATTTTCACCTAGAAGGGCGGTGGGAGGGAGGGTGCATGCTTAGTGACATGGGTCAAGATCATCATGGGGCGGGGGGCTATTTCAGTGGTGGCACTGTGTATATGGGAGGCTCCCCCCCTTGAAGACCACCTGCCACCTACTTCGCTATCAATTAGGTACTAGACAAGGACATTTCTATTCACCAGAGCATTTAACTACAACCTTTATCTCATCACCAAGGCTCCCTCTCAGCTGTGGAGTCCTGCTGGCAAAAATTCTATTCTGTGAGCTCCTGGGATTAAAGTTGTGAGCGAGCGATTGGGCTGCTGCATAAATTACTTTGCTCTGGAGCCCCATCCTTCCTGAGCGAAGGCAAAAATGTGCGCGCTGGAGGCTAAAGAACTGTGAGCTGGCTCACAGCAACTCAGCTTAGAGGGAACACTTCTCATCACTGTTGAGATGAAATCCATGTATTTTCTCACTTGTATGGATTTAAATCTCTCTCTCTCTCTCCATGGCATAGCCCACAGCCTCATCGAACCACGCAAGCCCCCTTGCCACGACAAGGCAGTGATCCAGAGGACGGCGGAAGACAGGAGGGCCTGGCGTGATCTGGTCCGTGGGGTCGCGAAGAGTCGGACTCGACTGTGCGACTGAACAACAACAACAACAAAATCTATCTATCTATCTATCTGTCTGTCTGTCTGTCTACCTACCACTATTTTGTGCTGCCACCAATTGCTGTCTTTTCCATTTACACAGGACATCTTTATTGGTAGAGAAGGAAGTGTTAGTGAATTGCTTTAAATGAAACGTATTTATGTCTCTGCCCCGACCTGGATGCCCAAGGCTAGCCTGCTCTCGTCAGATCTCAGAAGCTAAGCAGGGTCGGCCCTGGTTGGAACTTGGATGGGAGACCGCCAAGGAAGTCCAGGGTCGCTACGTAGAGGCCGTCAAGGGCAAATCCACCTCTGTATGTCTCTTGGCCTTGAAAACCCTACCGGTTCATAAATCGGCAGTGACTTGATGGAACGTCCCACCACCGTTTATGTATTGCTCTAAGGTTCTGCTGTTAGTCGTTGTCGTCCCCTTTCTGATTAACATCCCACCCACCCCTTTTTAGCGAATGATGGGGGACAAATACACCTAGGGTAAGAAAGAAGTCTGATAAAGGGCCAGTATTAAAAACCTGGTTGAAATACACAGAAATACGTGTATTTATTAGAAAGACAGTTAAAAACCTATAAGGGCCCAATGAAAGCCTCATTAAAAAGTTCAAGTGGGCTGAACACGAGGGCCGATACACACGACCTGACAATACTGAGGTACACGTAACTTAAATACATATTACAATAAGATAACCAATAAGTGAATACTGGACCAAGAAAAGGAAGGTTAAGCAGCAAGATCAATAGTCACAAGACAAAGGCATTTGTGAGGCCTCTAAAGAGGAGAGTCATGTGCCTGGTGCCAAATGCACAGCTGCTGAATTAGAACATCTTCCATTTTAGGTCCAAAGAGCACCTGTGTGGCTGTCTAAGTCAGAGCTTGAGTGTCCTCAAGCGAATATTGAGTTTGTTTTCCCCTCCCTGTGTCTTACGGACAAATACGCCGGACATAGGTCAGCAGATCCCATAATGCCTCCGGAAGCGGAAGCAGAAGAAGAGATTGGGTTTATACCCCGCCCTACACTTGGGAGTCTCAGAGCGGCTTACAAACTCCTTTCCCTCCCCCCTCCCCACAACAGACACCCTGTGAGGTGGGTGGGGCTGAAAGAGCTCTGACAGAAACGGCTCTTTTTCAAGGACAGCTGTGCCAGAGCTTGTGACTGACCCAAGGTCACACCAGCAGCTGCGAGTGGAGGAGTGGGGAATCAAACCCGGTTCCCCCAGATTAGAGTCTGCGCACTTCACCACGACACCAAACTGGCAGGGACCCCGAGACTTCTCCCTTGTGCTCCACTCAGCCCCTCCCTCTCTCCCACCGACGTGCGCTCACCTCGAAGACCTCATCCGTCTTCAGCTCTTTCATGCTAAAAACGATGCCGTGACAGTACCCGGCCACGCGCACGGCCCGACACCCGTCGTCCTGGAAGGCCACGTTCTTGCCACAGCTGCCGTGAAAGCGGTGGGCCACTCCGGGCACTGGAAGAGAACAACAAGTTTGCCGGTCAGCACCCACCTCGGACGCTTGGGGGCCAGGGAAGCCGGAGCCATCAGTTCCCCTTGGGAAGCGGGGGGGGGGGGGTGGAGCGGCAGAGAGAGAGAGAGAGAGAGAGGCCCTGGGCACGCACGGCCTTCCCTGCGCAACCACGCACCCGGCCCAGGGTTTCCCACCTGGCGAATGGATGGGGAAGGACTTCTCAGTGATGTTGCTGGTGGACAGGCTGTTGTCCATGGGTCCGGTGGCGCTCGTGATGGACACCTGGACACACTGGCCATACAAATCTATCACAGCGTAGACCTCTGCGTCGAAGGGTGGAGAGAAAAGGGGAGAGGTCTACGTCAGCACAAGACACGGGAGGCCAAGCTTGCAGGATGCCAACTGCTTGGTACCAATTAGAGACTCTTTAATGTGTAACAATATGTGATGCCATTTGGGGTGTAAGACCTTCTGCCCTTCCTGGTTATGGCGGAATACAGCCTTGGAATGGCTGAGGTGCGAAGGCACTCAGCCCTGTATCCCCTGTCTTAAATGCATTAAACAGATAGTCATCTAACTGGTTGGGCTCTGACTTTGTGTTTCCAATTAGGCACACAGATTTGAGCATCACCTACAGTGTTTCCCCCTTCCCTTAGAATCAAGAAGAAGAAGAAGAGGAGATTGGATTTATACCCCACCCTTCACTTGGTGTCTCAGAGCGGCTTGCAATCTCCTTCCCCTTCCCCTTCCCCTCCCCACAACAGACACCCTGTGAGGTAGGTGGGGCTGAGAGAACTCTGACACAAACTGCTCTTTTTTCAAGAACAGCTCTGACAGAACTATGGCTTACCCAAGGTCATCCAGCAGGTGCGAGTGGAGAAGTGGGGAACCAAACCTGGTTCTCCCAGATTAGAGTCCTCCGCGCACTTAACCACTGCACTAAACTAGCTCTCACACAGTCACCAGCGCAGAAGCTCTTCAGTGCTGGATCCCTCCCCCATGGAAGGTACCTCTCGAAAATGACTCCTTTCTTTCTTTACATAATTTATAGGCTGCCTTTCTTACAAATACTTAAGGCGGATGACGCAGAGTGAGTGAGTCGGTAGGATCAACAAAATGCAACATTCAACAAACAATGCATTATTTTAGAAGTCTGGAACCACAAGAAAGAACTGAAGCATGGCATGAGTATTCACACGACAAATTAAATGAGGGGTGCTGAACTCATTTGTTATGGGGGCCGGATCTGACATAAATGAGACCTTGTTGGGCAGGGCCGGGTGTGTCATAAAAGGTAACGCCAGGTAGCAGAGATATACACTTTATAAAGGACACAAACACAAAGGTGGGTTTTTTTTACTTAAAATAAAAACATGCTTAAAACATTAGCACTCTTGATATTATAGCAGGAGATATTACAGTGGTGCCAAAGCCCGGGATCCAGTAGAAACATAGCAGCATATTTTGAGCCTGAATCTTAATTGAGATCAGCGTCCTATCTGAATTTAATATTCTTAAGACTTGTTGTCTAACATTGATGAAACCGAGAGCTTTGGCACCACTATAATATCTCCTGAAAAAGATTCATTTTTTGAAACGTTATGTAATCCGGAGATGACGTTGTGTATCATGTTATAGTGCTTTAGATTGCAATACATAAACAGCCTGCTTTATAAGTCTTATGACTGTTTGATTGTGGGTCAGACTATCATGACTGTTGGCTTTATACTTGTTTAACTGATTGAGTCGTGTGTGTCCAGATTTTCTTCCCCTGATGTTGCCTCCTGGCTCTGGTCGAGGTTCTGGGCAAGTGTCCGCAACATGGTACTGCCTCTGGACAGGGAGGTTCCTTTTAGTCACCACGACTAGTACCTGTCCTCCATGAACCTGTCTAATCCCCCTTTAAAGCCGTCTGTGCCTGTGGCCATCACTACATCCCCTGGCAGCAAATTCCACATTTTAATCACTTGTCGTGTAAAGAAGTATTTTCTTTTGTCCGTCCTGAATCTGCAGCCCATTGGCTTCACTGGATGCCCCCGAGCTCTAGGTTTTTGGGAGAGGGAGAGGAAGCTCTTTGTCAACTCTCTCCACCGCTGTGCATAATTTTAGAAACCATCCGAGCCTCTCAACTCACAGGGCAACATTTAGGCCCGTTTGATGCTGCTCTTTCCCAGCACATTGCTGCTTATGCGTTGGGTGCTGTACGATAAACAGAAGAGATGTTCTGATCCACAGGCTCTGCTGCTTGAAGCACACCCCTCTCACACACACACACATACACACTTGGCCGCACGCCGTGGTTCTCACCCTTCCCTGGAGGCAGCCCCGAGCAGGCCACGCCCTGGTCGACACCATTGATGAAGTAGTGCAAGTCGCCCTTGGCGGTGCGCATCATGCCAATGCGCGACCCGGTAGTCAGCGAGTCCAAGTCGCAGCCGTAATTGTTGCGCATGGTGTTGCCGTCCTGCATGATGGCTGTGCCGCTGGAAGGGGAAAGAAGGAGACGAGAGATCCAGAACCTCGTCTTTGAGCCCAGAGGGGGGTTTGCACACCCTGCGGCCCTCTCCCCATTCCGCTGCGAGCTGCCAATGACGACAACGCATCCTTGCACAGAGGATCTTCAGTTACCGTCTCAGCGCTCAACTCCATCTCGGAGGGTGGGAACACTCCGCAGCCGTGACTCTGCTGCCCAGGTGGCTTCGACTGCTGACAGGCCCCTTCTTCTGCCCCAAATGTGCCCTCCTCCCACCCCACCAATGCCCCCCCTAAGCTGTGGAGTCTTGTTAGCAAAAACTCTATTGGGTGAGCTACTGGCTTTAAAGTTGTAAACAAGCGATTTGGCTACTGCATAAATTCGTTTGCTCTGGAGCCACAGCGTCCCTGAGCCGAGGCAAAAATGTGTGAGCCGGAGGCTAAAAGACTGAGCTAGCTCACACTTAGTAAGCTTAGAGGGAACACTGCACCCCACCCCTTTCACTACAGGGAACAGATTCCTCTACGGCTCCAGACCTTTTCAAGCCACCCAGTAAAAGACAGTAGCTTTGCTTTCTCTGCCACAGGCTAGTTTTCTACAGGCAGGGGATTCGTTCTGGACACAGGAACCAGCCCAAGCAGCGAGACCATCATCAGAGGCTGCACTCTGGGACCACTACCCCGCCCCCCGGCATTCATTGACCTGGTCCCTGCGTTGCAGCCTTTGAGATACCAAGAGGTCCTCGAGTTGCATCCTGTGGCTTTGTGGCACCTTTAAGAGCAACATGCACACGGAAGCTTCTACCCAGAATTAAACTTTGTTGGTCTTAAAATTTCCACTGGGCCCAAACTTTGTTCTGTTGCTTCAGACCAAGATGGCTACCCCCCCGAATCTATTTTCCTGTGGCTCTGTTTGGCTGGCAGAGGCTCTCCTGGCCCATGGAAGGAGTCTCGCCTAACACACATCTTGCCAAAGGAAAGAACCTTTGCTGGTGGAACAGATCCAACAGATGCCATTTCCCCAGGTTTTTAATGGTGCCGGCTACTTTGAGGCCAGGTTACTGTGATCAGTTCTATATTTCTGGCTAACCATGTGTCATGATCCTGGGCCTATAGTAGTAGTAGTAGCAGCAGTAGTAGAAGAGGAGGAGGAGGAGGAGGAGGAGATTGGATTTATATCCTGCCCTTCACTACCCAAAGGAGTCTCAGAGCGACTTACAAACTCCTTTCCCTCCCCCTCCCCACAACAAACACCCTGTGAGGTAGGCGAGGCTGAGAGAGCTCTTTTGAGGATTGCCCTTTCAGGAACAGCTCTGACAGAACTATGGCTTGCCCAAGGTCATCCAGCAGCTGCAAGTGAAGGAGTGGGGAATCAAACCCGGTTCTCCCAGATTAGAGTCCACACACTTAACCACTTAGGGCTGCCAAGTCAATTTTCGCCGGGAGCAGGGGGCTCCCGGCCGGTGTCAGTTGTGCGCGCAAAGCACGCGTGTGCCGCATGCACAGCACCCGGAAGTGACGTGATGACGCCAGGCACACTGGGGGCGGGGCCATGGGCATACGAGGGAAAACCATAGAGTTTTCCCTCGGATGGCCGTGGCCCTGCCCCCAGCGTGCCCGGCGTGGTCGCGTCATTTGCGGGTGACGCGCACGTTGGGGAGGAGTTCCCCCGGGGGGACTTGGGAAGCCTATAACCACTACACCAAACTGGCCTGTAGTGCGGCCTACAGGCTCTAGGGAGGCCTAGCAGCTCCAGGGGAACCTGTATTAGAGTGATTACAGGGCCTACATTTCCCAGGTCACCCTTTGGGTCCTGTGATCGGTTAACAGGGGATTTGGAGGAAAAACGTACTCCAGCAGCAGAGTAGAGGACAGTGCCTGGGAAGAAGGAATAAAAGACCTTGCCCAAAGTGGGGGGGGGATTTTTCACTCCCAGGGAGCAGGGCTAGTATGAAGCTGCTGCAGAAGGAGGGATCCCTCATCCAAAAGGGGTGAGTCAGTTTGAGGCCAAATGCCTAGAGAAGGTTAGGTACAGTACAGTCAGACACGTCAGTTTCTCTTATTTTGCTGGTTTGCCTACCTTTACTGCGTTCCTTTGCCTGCATGTTATTAAATTACAGTTGTTGTTAGATCTCTTTAATAAAAATAGTTTGTTACTCTGCCTGGGTCCTCAGGCCTCATTCGGTCGCTTACAAGGGGAAACCTACTGGAAAAGGAAGTCGATAAAGGGGTCGGGTGGATGCTCTGGGCCCACCCGAGGAGACCCAGACCAGAATGGTGGCAGCTGGTAGAGAACCTTTCTAGCCGCTGCCCGCGACACCACGCCCCTCGTTTTAAACGGTGGTTTGTGGCTTACGGGGCACTGAAAAAACCGAACAAAATACCTCTGTGGAGGGGACAATGCGAGCTGAAGCTGTAGACCCCCGGGTGCTGGGGCTATACCACAAGCTCTTCTCTGAGTTTTTAAGACAGACAGACAGTTTGGTGTGGTGGTGAAGTGCGTGGACTCTAATCTGGGAGAACCAGGTTTGATTCCCCACTCCTCTGCTTGCAGCTGCTGGATGACCTTGGGCAAGCCATAGTTCTGGTCAGAACTATGAAGGCTGAATGAAGGCTGTCCCAGAGTTCTCTTGAGGACTCAACTTGTATTGTATGTCAGTTCTGTCAAAGACCTTGATTCACCTGCAACTCTGATGATTGCTAATAAAATCCATTAAACGGACTTATCGCGTCCGAGAGTTCCTGTAGAGTCTCACACCTGGCCCTTCCACTCACCTCAGCATCCACGTGTCATAGTCAATGTCCGTCATGGTGTTGGGGAACTCCAGGTCCTCTGGACGGATGGCAGTGACACCTGATGGGGATAAGAAAGGGGATGAGGGAGGAGAAACGAAGCGCCGTTCCATGGAAACAAGCCCTCTTTCGGGGGGGGGGGGTGTTTCAGGCTCTGGGACTCCTCTTCAGGGGCCAGGACATCATTCTATGGGGGCAGACGCTTCCCGGGGTCCTGCCCGCTGAGATCTAGTAGCAAGAGTTTCTGGCATCAGCTGACTACCACGAACCTTGTGGCAACAGCCGGAAGAGCTTTTTCCGTCACAGTCCCGGGCAAGGCTCCCTCTAAGCTGCGGAGTCTTGTGAGCAAAAATTCTACTTTGTGAGCTACTGGCATTAAAGTTGTGAGCGAGCCCTTTGGCTGCTGCATAAATTAGTTTGCTCTGGAGCCATTCCTTCCTGAGCTAAGGCAAAAATGTGTGAGCCAGAGGCTAAAACACTGTGAGCTGGCTCACACTAACTCAGCTTAGAGGGAACACTGGTCCCGGGACTATGGAAATCATCTGCCGTCCACCAGACCTAGGCACTTGGTCCACCTCATGGGCCATGAAAGCCCTTTATGATCTCCTCTTGAGTCTGCCAGTGAAAACTGCTGAGCGTCAGCAGTGCTGCTTCAAATGGCTATTGAGCGTGCTCTTTTGATAGTTAGGCGGCTGTTCCTGCAGTGGCAATATCTCTTCCCAAAGATGCATCTTGGCTCTGAGCGGCCCCTCCTAACGGCTGCCTGTGGCATCCTGCTTACCGGGGAGACTGTTTCTCCTCTAAAACCCGCTCTGTGCACATGAACTTAGTAGATTGCTGCTGCCACCAGGAATTAAACATTCCAAATCTCTCTATTTTGGTAGGATGACCCAGGGTCTGGGCGCTTCAGAGGACTATGTGGCCCTGAGGAAGGACTGTACTGATTGCTGGGATAAGTTTAAACAAATAATGATTTATTTATAAAAGAACCGAATAAGTTTCTGGGTATTTTTGAACTGATGTTGAGGAAGGAAAATATAACTGACAAAGCTTGGCATCACACACACTCTCTCAAACACTAAACTCTGACAGGATTAGACACTCAGTCTAAACTCTCTTGCTCATACAGCCACACAGGCTAAACTCCAACTGTTTCCTCTGTCATACAGACTCTCACACAAACTCTCCACTTACTTTTAAATTATATTTACTATTCTTATGTCCTTAACCTTAGTAAGATCTATATGAACCTTTTAATGGTTGATGAAATATTGATATTTCTTTCTCTTCCATTTTGTATTTTTCTATTAAAATTAAAAAAAAAGAAAAGAAGGGAGCTTTGACTCTTGAAACCCTACAGCTCAAAACCCTTGTGGGTCTCTGAGGTGCAACTCCAATCTAGCCTATTAAACCATGGGGCTGTTTTGAAAACGGATTCAGCACTCTGGGTTGGATCCTGTGGACTTGTTCTGCTAACAACAGTGCTTTTCTGCTGGACGAAAAGACCTGCAGTTAGTCAAACAGGTCCACGGGCTCCAACCATCATTTCTCTAGACTGAAGCCGCCTCAAGTGCCCCATACGGAAAATGCAGGTTAAAAGCACTTCAATTAAATAAGTGATCAAACAGAAGTTTTCTAAACAAAAAAAACCCTGTGTCCCCCCAGCTCACCTGCTTCAATGGAGCCCGACCAGCGATCTACCATCTTCTGAATTGCGATTTCAAACAATTCCCCATCTCGGAGCGGCCTGCAGGGAAACAGGAAGCGGGGGGAGAGGAGATGGACGTATGAACTGGTTTGCGGGATCAGACCAAGAAAACTTCTGCTCTTGCCTGAGGCCCTCGGGACAGTCACAGGACAGCAGAGATGACCCTCTCTGGCTGTCCCCAGCATCCAACTCACACATGCATGCTCCTTCTGAACACGTGCACAAGTTTCCACTCTTAATGCTCTAAAAGTAAGCTGTTGACGGCTCTCAGGCTCTGACAGATACCAAAGTGACCCCACCAGTCCCATGAGACCTCTCAATACAACTCATAGAGGGACTTCTGTGCCCTCTCTTGTCCACTTGGAGATGCCACCCAGTTTAACTGCTCTAGCCTCTGAACATAAGAGAACATAAGAGAAGCCAGCGCTGGATCAGGACAATGGCCCATCCAATCCAACACTCTGTGTCACACAGGGGCCAAAAATACCAGGGGCTATCGGGAGGTCCAGCAGTGGGGCCAGGACACTAGAAGCCCTCCCACTGTTGCCCCACCCCCAAGCACCAAGAAGACAGAGCATCCCTTGCACCAGACTGAGAGTTCCTACCTATACCTTGTGGCTAATAGCCACTGAGGGACCTCTGCTCTTAACACAAGAACATAAGGCAAGCCAATGTTGGATCAGGCCAACGGCCCATCCAGTCCAACACTCTGTGTCACACAGTGGCCAGAAATACCAGGTGCCATCAGGAGGTCCACCAGTGGGGCCAGGACACTAGAACATAAGACAACATAAGAGAAGCCAAATGTTGGACCACCATCCAGTCCAACATTCTGTGTCACACAGGGGCCAAAGATACTAGGTGCCACCAGGAGGTCCAGCAGTGGGGCCTGGACACTTTGATTGGCTGAGAGACATGAACAAAGCTCCACCAAACATTTGGGCTGCTCTCTACCCAACAGCGTTTCGTGCGTCTCGGTGTTTAGTCATGCCGGCCACATGACCACGGAAATGTCTTCAGACAGCGCTGGCTCTTTGGCTTTGAAACGGAGATGTGCACCGCAACCCTAGAGTCGGATTCGACTGGCTTTCGAGCAAGGGAGACCTTGACCTTTACCTTTTACTACCCAATGAAGGGCCCGATTAATGCTGATTGGTGCCGATGGTGTTCCAATCAGCGCCAGAGAAAGACCTGATGAGCAGCAGGCTCCCACAGTTCCAAATGTGCCGGTTTCTGCATCTCTGTCCCAGCAGCCTCTGGTGCATCTTGAACTGTGCTTTGCACCCAACAGTCAGCAGCATCCAATTTAACTGAGCCACTTATGGGTCTTTGCCTTGGCTGGAACATCCTTTTCCCTCCACCTGCCCCCACCCCTTCTTCTGTACCCATAATCCTAACCCGTCAGGAAGAAAAGCAGCTAACAGACCCTTTTAAATAACAACAACAATGGCAAAGAGTTTTAGGACTCTCAAAAGCCTCCTCATCACTTTGTGACAACTTTGTTGTCCCGAATAAAAAGTTTTACTCCGTTCCCGGTTTTTAAACAAGCCACCTGCAGTCTTAATCATCACAGTCTGTTTTCCCACACTCCGAATTGTCTGGCTACCATTACTGTTTTGCAGAGATGTACAGTTTTAGGATTAGCAACACGGAAAGCAAAGGGAAGGGGGGGGGGAACCGGGGGTGTGGCTTGGCTCCTGGCCGTTCACTAACCGGTTGGAGATGACGATGGCATCGTTGAATTCGCTACGGCAATTCTGGCGCAGCGCCGTCCGCCCCCCATTGGTGATGACCGCGTTGTTGCCGTGGAGGTGGTGGAAGCGCAGGTCGCTCCCCGAAGCGACGGAGGACGGGCTGCTGGGAGACAGCTGGTTGTTCCCTTCCGACAGGTCATCCGGAAGAGGGAGAAGATCTGCGGAGGACGCGGCACACATCACAGACGTGCAACACAGTTCCAAAACCTATGGACTATGGTGCTGGAGAAGACTCTTGAGAGTCCCTTGGACTGCAAGGAGATCAAATCAGTCAATCCTAAAAGAAATCAACCCTGATTGTTCCCTGGAAGGCCAGATAATGAAACTGAAGCTCCAATACTTTGGCCACCCAATGAGAAGGGAGCACTCCCTGGAGAAGACCCTGATGCTGGGAAAGACTGAAGGTCAAAGAAGATGGGGACGGCAAAGGATGAGATGGTTAGACAGTGTCATAGATGCAACGAACATGAAGTTGAGCCAACTTCAGAGGACGGCGGAAGACAGGAGGGCCTGGCGTGATCTGGTCCATGGGGTCACAAAGAGTCGGACTCGACTGTGCGACTGAACAACAACAACATGGACCCAGTAAAGGCCCATCTAAATCTGGCTTTTACTGCCAGAGCTCAAATCAAAACAGGACAGGCCACCCCTAAGGGAGAGCGCCGCCATTTGCAGAACGAATGCGCGGAACCCAACTCAGCGTTTCGCCTGATGGCATCAAACAGCGGAAACAACCAAAAGGACTGGCGTCTACCCTTCCTGCGAGACCTGCCCGGCCCCTCACCTCCCCTTTGTTTGCCAAAGTTTCGCCAGGCGCTCTCTGCAGTTGTCAGAATGAGGAACCTGCTTTTTAGAAACCCAAGACTAACAGCTACAGCAGAGCTCCCCAAGGCCCCAAGGCGTGCAGCCTTCAGCAGCGAATTCTCCACTCGTGCGGGGAGCATACGGACGCACAGCACATACCCACCTCCCGCTGTTTTTGATGTCAGAGCCAGAGGGTTTTTTTTTAAAAAAGCCAGAGTCAAGGTGGGTGCATAAAGCCCAGGTGGACGGCACAGTACGGTAAGGAGTGTGGTCAGACTTGCAAACGATTTGCTCGCCGCCCCACGTAAGGCCCCAATCCTAGCAAACAACCCACCGATCCGGCCAGCCCTCTCGTGGAGCTGCCTTCTGCTGAACCAACCCCTGGGGCCACCAACCAAACCCTGGGGCCACCAAAGTCAGCCTTGTCTACTCAGCTCTCTGGGGCCTCACGGAGAGGAAAGTCTCCCCCATCACCTCCTCCCTGGTCCTTTCCCACTGGAGACCCCCGGGACTGACGTTCAGACCTTCTGCAGGCCAAGCGGAGGCTCCTCCACTGAGCCACGGGCCCTCCCCACAAGCATAAGACATGAACACACGAAGCTGCCTCATACTGAATCAGACCCTGGGTCCGTCAAAGACTGTGGGCAAGGGTCAGCGATACAAGATGGGCAGAGATCAGCGGTTAGGCACACCTATCCTGATTTTAGCCCATATTTCCAGACTCTATAAACATCTGGATTGATCAGTAACTCTGATCAATCCAGAATCCAGACCTTTGCACATCCTGCACCTGTGGACATGTTAAAGAGGGTAGCTTTTTAATTATTGCACTATGTAAGCATCCTTAAGATGGCCTCCCTAGAGTATCTGTTTCCCCCGGTTTCTGTACGTGCAAGTCCCAACCTCACCCCACGGTGGGGGGGGGGGGCAGAGTGTGGATAAAATAAACGCTTGCTACCTTGAAATGCAGACTGATTTCTCTACCCTCAAGAGAGAGCTGTCTCCTGTGATTCCTTCAGTAGCCAAAAATGTGTAGGGCCTCCCTAATGCCTTGTAGCCAAACATCCATACCCTAGTCAGATAAGTGAACCCCATCAGTGTGAAATAGGGCATCCAAGCATAGTGAAATGTCGGAGGCCTCCCATGCCTTCCACACTCCTCCACAGCCTGTCATTCAGCTGGGCCTTTTTCAAAAGCCCAGCTCCAACCCGTCCAACCAGAGGATGGTCGTGGTCGGGAGCTCTACCAGTAGTGTCCTCCAATCTGCATTGACCTGGTGTAACAGCCTGTGTGGTCCCTCAGGCTGCCCCACCATCTCATTAGCACATCTGGGATTTGCATCACCCCTTCCAGGCCCCATAGTGATTGCATAGCCATATCAATTTCACTGCCTCCTTGGAACAGCGTTGGAGAGCACATTTAAAGTTAAAGTTTCTCTCTCTCTCTGACAAATAAATATAATTAGCAAACAAAGAAATTTGTTGTTGTTCAGTCGCACAGTCGAGTCCGACTCTTCGATCAATATCTGTTTTTACCTTTTGTTTTTGGTTATTAACTTACGTTAATAAAAAGCGAATTTGCGTATTTCCCAATAAAAACGTGTGTGATATTTGTTCGTGTTTTGCGGCTCCCAGATATCTGACGTTTATTCTGTGTGACTCTTATGTTAAGCAAGTTTGGCCACCCCTGTCCTACGGGATTCTTCTAGCTGGAGATGCCGGGGATTGAACCTGGGCCCCTCCTCACCTGTGTCATCAGCTATGGTCGCCTGGGCCGCTTGCCCGTACAGGTCCACGACAGCGTAGATGTTTGGTGGGACATTCCATGCGGCAGGACCCTGTGCCACCCCGTTGACGAAGAAGTGCAGCGTCCCGTCCTCTTTGCGCACGACACCCACTGTGTCACCTGCCTGAGGAAGGGAAGAGGCCTCCATGAGGAGGGACGGGGAGGAGCATGCATCCGACGTCCAGATGGAGAACGGAGACTGTATTCGGAACCTGCTCCGAGACCGTCCCCTGCAGTGCCCCACCTTAACTCAGCAGAGCATTCCGCTGCAGTTCAGTCCCATGTACCACCCCGCACCAAAACCTCATTTTTACAGGTTCATGTGGCTGCCGTCTCTTGCACTCGCCTTCAGGCGGTCCAGGTTGTGTCCGTATTCATCCAAGATGGTCGTCCCATTGTGCATCACCCCGTTCCCCGTCATCATCCAGGTGCCTGCAGGAGATCAGCCAGAAAGTAGGGCAAGCGTCAGGCGGGAGAGGCCAGGAATCTCTCTGCTCCGTGCACGGGCACCAGTACGGCTGGAGCGAAAGGAGAGGGGGGCACGGGCAGAGGCAAGTGGGGATCTTGACGATGGACAAGGAAGAAGTTGGGGACAGAGAGTTCCAGAGGGGACAGCGATGTGGGAAGAGAGGGAAGGATCTTTGAAACAGATCAAAAGAGTTTTCTCTTTCTTCCACACACGGATCCACCGCTTCCAAGAAGAGACAGGACAGGAAAGCGTCTGCCAACTCCACACACGACCGCTTAGCACAAGCACAGAATGCAGCCCTGACCTGGAAGCTAAGCAGGGTCAGCCCTGTACAGGACTTGGATGGGAGACCACCAAGGAAGTCCAGGGTTGTTCTGCAGAGGCAGGCATTGGCCAACTGCCTCTGCTCGTCTCACGCCTTGAAAACCCTATAGGGTCACCTGTGATTTGATGGCACTTTATACAGACACACACACAGTGTCACCACTTTGTTTTTTAATTGATTTTGTCTACCTGACCATCAAGATGATACTGAGAGTTAGCAGGTTTCCAAAGCTGTGACGGAGAGTAAATGGTTCATGATGTAACCCAGTCTGAGAACCTTGAGTGACAGGGGATTCAAACAGAGTTCTACAGTTGAGAGTGTCAGTTAGAAGTATCAGTTAAGGAATGACGACGGGGAAGGGAGGTTAAGAGAGTGAGAGGATCAAGAAGGGTCCTCATTCAAGCCTCAGGGAAATAGCTCCTACTAAAGGGGGGGATCCCTACCAAGTCTGAGAGAAATAGCTCCTCGTAAAAAGGGGTGATCTCTGTCAAGTGGTTAAGAAAGGATACTGGAACTTGTGTGAATGTTCCTGCCTTTACCAACTGAAGTGTCTGTGAGACAAGGAAGCTTATGCTTGTTTATTGAAGCAGACACTGCCAAGAAATCTCTCTCCTCAGTGTTTAAAGACCTGTCTTTAAGCAGCCATTTGTTTGTGTCAAGATATCTATTGCTGATATTCATATAAATACTTTTATTTATATATTTGTACCTCATTCCTGTTGCCTGTTCACCTCCTAGGTCCTAAACCTGATATCTACCTGACAATTCCCCCTCATAAGTAAAATAAAACAGTTTGTTAGTTTTGAATTGACATCTGCCACTCGTGTGCCATTTTCAAACAAAGACAAAAGCAAGATTTCAGTCAGTCCCTCAGATCCCAAGACTGGGTCAGCATATACACATATACGTTTAAACAGCTGGGTGAGACAGACTGAAAAACAAAGAAGAAAGAAAAGGGTCTGCACAGCCAAGAAGAAAATTAAGCGATCCTGGGGGAATCGTCATATTTGGTGGTAGTGTCATGATCTGAAAATAAAACATTAACCATTTCCATCACAGAAAGCCCTTCTAGATTGTCAGAAGAGGAGGAGGAGGAGGAGGAGATTGGATTTATACCCCGCCCTTCACTACCTAGAGGAGTCTCAGAGCGGTTTACAATCTGAGAGAGCTTTTTCGAGAACTGCTTGTGAGAGAACAGCTCTGAAATAACCTGTGACTGACCCAAGGTCACACCTGCAGCTGCATGGGGAGGAGTGGGGAATCAAACCTGGTTCTCCCAGATTAGAATCCCTAACCACTACACCAAACTGACCTCAAAGTTACAGCAGCAACTCTGGGACAACCACAAAGGAGACCACACAATGAAGATCTGCCACCGCGTCTGCTCCCCTTCTGTCACCCCACCCTTCCCCAGGGAGTGCGGTTAAGTAAATTACCCCACAACTAGTCCCGTTGGTTCAAAACAGCGGCATTCGACGAAGCACTTATTCCCACCACCCCCAGGAGACAACTTTGAGGAGGAGGGGTCTCACCTGACCGCAAGTTGGTCATGGTGGAAGGCAGCTGCAGGTAAGTGGGGTTGTGGGTGGTCACGCCGATCTCAATGGAACCTGCCCACTTGTCCACCATCTTGTCAATGCGCACCTGGAAGACCTCGCCGTTGCGCAGCGGCCGGTTGCTTAAGACCACTCCGTGGTTGAAATCATCTGTGGCACTGCTCAAGTAGGAGAGACACGAGAGCTCCGTTACTGTGGTGGGGAGTGCTGTTTGCACACGGGCCTGTCAAAACAGAACTGCCCTAGGGCTGAAGCACACAGGTGTGGACTGCCAGGGCTGGCACGATGGGCACACAGACCCTCAGCGGAGGCCACGAACCTGAGTGTCACCCTCCCCGTAAACCTCCCCCTGCCATTGACGAAGCTGTTGCGTTGTCATGGAATGGCCACGAACATTCTAACCAGAGCGAAGGTGCGAGCAACCGAGCTGCTTCTGCAAGGGCAGCAAAACTTAGTTTGGCCGGCAGAGCACCTCGCACAGGACCTGCGCCAACAGGACATGTTTCCTGCTGGCAGAAGTGGAGAGAAAGAAAAGAGGGTGGGGCTAAGAGAAGGCAGCAGGCGGCGAACGCGTATATGAAGCTGCCTTATACCGGGTCAGGCACCGGCCCCATCAACGGCAGCGCTGCCCACTCGGACTGGCAGCATCTCTCCAGCGTCTCGAGCAGAGAAAGGTCCTTACCTACTGCCTGGTCCCTTTTAACCGGAGGTGCTGAGGACGGGAGCTGAGACCCTCTTCGTGACAAGCAGATGCTCTGCCCCTGAGCCACGGCCCCTCTCCTCCCCCGATAAAGGGCTGCAGGTCTCCAGCATAAGATATTTCTCTTAGCCGGAGGCCTTGAAGATACTGAGGATGCATACTGGGGCCGTAGAGCGGTCCGTCCCTCGTTGATGATGGCGGCCTTCTGCCCACAGTTTGGGTGGAAAAGCAGGCGCTCCGGCTCCGGCTCACTCCCAGCATCGATGGCGCGGCGCCCCACGTCTGGCGACAGGGCCCTCATGATGGCGTTGTTACGCCGGAGGCGGTCACTGTGGTTATGGTTGTGCACGATGGTGACCTTCACAGCCATGCCATAAAGGTCTACCACACCATAAACCACCAGGGGAGTCAGGTTGGTGGCCACACCTGGAAGAAAGGGGAAAGTGAACAGATGGTTACTCGTTTCCACCGAAGGGCAAAGTAACGCCTGTGTGGCCCAAAGATACCAACTGGGCACACAAGGCCTGTGGATTCCTGTCCTCTTCCAAGGGTCGTTTGCTATGGCTTCTAGCCTATATCATCTTCATCTTTCATCACAAAGACCACAATCTTGTCCTCCTTTCATAAGAACATCAGAAGAGCCCTTGCTGGGTCAGACCAGGGAGGGTCCATCTAGTCCAGCATCCTGTCTCACACAGTGGCCGGCCAGTTCCTCTGGAGGGCCAGCAACAGGGCAGAGAGGCCGAGGCCTTCAAAAGAACATCAAGAGAGCCCTGCTGGGTCAGACCAGTGGTCCATCTAGTCCAGCATCCTGTCTCACCCAGTGGCTGACCAGTTTCTCTGGAGGGCCAACAGCAGGGCACAGAGGCCAAAGCCTTGACAAGAACCTCAGAGGAGCCCTGCTGGATCAGACCAGTGGTCAATTTAGTCCAGCATCCTGTCCCACACAGTGGCCAACCAGTTCCTCTGGAGAGCATATGGACCAAGGCTTTCCCCTGATAAGAACATTAGAAAAGTCCTGCTGGAATCAGACCAATGGTCCATATAGTCCAGCCTCCTATCCCACACAGTGGCCAACCGCTGGTGGGCCAGCCACAGGGCACAGAAGCCAAGGCCTTCCCCTAATGTTGCCTCCTGGCACTGGGATGCAAAGGTTTATTGTCTCTGAAAGTGAAGGTTCTCTTCAGTCACCATGGCTAGTAACCGCTGACAGATGTCTCCTCCATTAATCCATCCAACCTCCCTTTAAAGCTGTCTATGCCTGTGGCCATCGCTACTCCTCTGGCAGCAAATTCCGTTTTAATCACTTGTTGTGTAAACAGTCGTCTGCAGTGGGTCTCTTCCCAGGGCCACTGTGGTTACGGGAGTTGTCGATCCAAAACCAAATCTTACGAGGCCAAGCCCTCCGTGCCTTGCTCCCTGCCGATTAAAACCCACAGCCTCCTACTCCTCCTCCTCCTTGCCCGCCCGCCCATTCTTTTGTGGCCCCGGCAGCATCTCTGGAGCCCTGCAGGATCCACGTTTCTCAACCCCACTGACCTTGATCGATACCATTGATGTAAAAATGAAGGGCATTGTTGGACTTCCGGGTCAGACCGATATGGTCTCCCTCCTGCGGAAGCAGAGAGGAAGTGTGAGCAGAGTTCTGGGGAAACAAGAAAGGGAGAAGGGCCCCGTTCTGGGGTGGATGGTGGTCGGGGTGGAGCAGCCACACACACACACGCGGAAGGGCTTACTCACCTGCAGCTCGTCCAAGCTGAACTCGCAGTATTCCCTCCGCGTCCCCTTGCCGTTGGTCAGGATGCCGCAGCCGCTCATCATGATGGTTCCTTGGGGAGAGAACAGGGACGGGGTCGAGGAGACGGACTGGCGGCCGGCAGGAGTCCCTTCCCAGTCTCTGCGCCGCAGCTCCGGGCCAGAGCGGATGCCATCTCCCCGCCCTCTCCCTGCGGGCAGGTACGTTACCTGAGCGCAAGTTAGTCATGGTGGCCGGGTACTCCAGGTTGTTGGGGTTGTGCGTGGTCACGCCGATTTCTATGGATCCCGACCATTTGTCCACCAGCTTGTCAATTCGGATCTGGAACAAGAGGCCAAGGACCTGTCTCCCGCCGCTTCAGATACAAGAGCTCCCCACCCCCAGCATGCAACGCGGGAATCCGTTCTCTCTCTGTTCAGATTTTACTGAAGTCGGGTCCATTGTGTTAAGAGTATCCGACACGACCTGAAGTGATTCCGAATAACTTAAAAATCTTTAATTTTAGTACAGCTGTGTAAAATTGATAAGATGTACCGTCTGGGGTTGCTTCGTTCCTATAGATTTGGTGTCCGTTGACTTGTAATGATAATTTGTAAAGTTAGCAGAATGTATAATTTGTAAAGTTAGCAGAATGTATTATATGTATTGACCCCACTTTGAATCCTGTATATCTTCTCTCCTCCCACCCTTAAGGTTAGTTCTGACACTGAACGTACGCACAGATGACCTGCCTTTACAATACTCGATAAACTCGAACCTGCTGAAGGAACGTTGTTGGGGATGGATTGTTGTGGGACTCTGACAGTCCACCCTCCCTCGAACAACTCTGCTGAGGATGAAAAAGCCAGGAAGGATGCACAGGCATCAGGGCTATCTTTGGGCAGGAACGCACAGGAACGGAGTTCCGGCTGGCTCCCAAGTTGGCCACGCCCAGCAGGAACTCATTAGCATAATAGGCCACACCCAACAGCAGAAACTCATTAGGATTGGCTACATTAGGGGTGTGTGGCCTAACATGCAAAGGAGTTCCTGCTACAAAAAAGCCCTGGGTTTTGACCACAAACAAGGTAAACAGAATGAGAAGCAAATGGTGGGTGTGGCTGGATGACCACACTTCTGGTAACATGGGGGTGTGGCCTAATGTGGTAATGAGCTGTGCTGTCAGGGGTGTGGCCCAATATGCTAATGAGTTCCTGCTGGGCTTTATCTACAAAAAAAAAGCCCTGCACAGGCTGAATTTCCCACGAGAGAACAGAAGCTCAACAGGCTGCCTTTGCTTGGATCAGGCCTCGGGTCAGGGGCGGGTCCACTTGTACCTCACACCAGCTGCGTATCAGGAAGGCAGGCTGCGCTGCAAGAAACCAGTCTCACGAGACAAAAGGGGGGGACCTGAACAGGGACCTGCTCTCACTCTTCAGTGCACAGGCCCGGGTGGTGTGGTCAGGGGTCATTTCGTAGAAAAAGAGGTGCAGGAGCGCATTAGCATAACTTATTAGCATAAATTATTTGCATATGCCACACACCCTGACATCACCGGAAGTGTGTCAGAAGGCAACACCCACCGCTCAGGCTCCCCTGGACTGTTTTGGATTGCTAGCTATTTAGGGGGGGGGGACGTGCAGATCTGCCCTCACAGAGGAGGGAGAGCTCGTACCTGAATAAAACTTGGTCTTAAAGGTGCCACTGGACTGTTTTGGATTGCTAGCTATGGGGGGGGGGGGCGCGCAGATCTGCCCTCAAAGAGGAGGGAGAGCGTGACACTGAAGCGGGCCGGGGGGGAGGGGCTCTGCAACTTACCTGGCTGCTTCTTGCTCCTTGTGGCCTGACTGAGGGCTGCTGGGAGCAGCGGGTGGGGCTTGTTGCATGTGCCCGCCCCCTGGGCTCCTTACTGCTGGAGCTCCGCTCTTGTGCGCTCCCGCAGGAAATGACCCCTGGGTGTGGTAGTTCAGAGTGCTGGGCTGCAACTGGGAGGTCTAGGTTATAATCCCTACTCAGCCATGACCTTGGCCGCTTCCTGCCTTCCACCAGGCAAGGCTGTTCCAAGATTGACATAGAGGCTTTGTGGAGGAAAAGCATTATACCCGTGTCTGTCACAGACAGGCCTGAGGGCTAGACTATGAGCTTCACAGGCACTGAAAGAGCACAGCGCAGCCCCAGGAACCCATTTCAAACGCCAGTTTAAGCAAGAAGAAGCGGAGCATGTGCAAAGTTCATCTCCCTCTGCATAACGGCAGCCTACCCCCATGTACCGGATGCCGTCACCACCAAGCCTGTTCACACGCATCACAATCTATGCCGCAAACATGTTGCTTGACTTCCACCCTTGAGTGCTGAAAACCAGCTATTCATAAGAATTTTATATAATACTTTATCTTATTGGAAGAAAACTGGAACGAGACACAGATGCTCATGATACATTCCGGCACATTATGGGGTGGAAGGCCAGCAGCAGGGGAAGACTGCTGTCCTTACGTCCAGCTCGTGTGCTTCCCAGGGCATGTAGTGACGGCCACAGGCACAGACAGCTTCAAAAGGGGATTAGAAAGATTAATGGAGGAGAGGTCTATCCCTGGCTGCTAGCCGTGGTGAATAAAGGGAGCCTCCAAGTTCAGAGGCAGTCAACCTCCAATCCCAGAGCCAGGAGGCAGCATCAGGGGAAGGCCTCGGCCCCTCGGCCCTATTGTTGGCCCACCAGGGGAACTGGCTGGCCACAGGGTGAGAGAGGATGCTGGAATAGATGGTCCGCTGGTCTGATCCGGCAGGGCTCTTCTGACGTTCATCTGGCGGACCACTTTGAGAAAGAAGATGGAAGAGAAAGAGGACCTTTGTCCCTGACACACCAGCTCTCACTCCCCAAAGGGACTTTTCTTTCTTTCTTTCTTATTATATTCTTTATTTTTTTAGTATCGTAGAAAAAGAGGTGCAGGAGCGCACAACATGAGAAATATAACTTGGTGAAGTCATCTCATGAAGTTACTCAGTGAGCATTAACTGCAGATAGGTGCGTAGCCAGAAAATTTTGGTGGATGGAGCAGGTGAGCGGGGAACTTAATTAGATTACTAATTAGATTAGTTTCCTGGGGAAGGTCCCTTAGGGGCCTTCCCTTCACTTCCAAAGCTGCCCTGCCCCTTCTGGCCAGTTTCACTGGGGTCCAGTCCAATGTTCCCTCTAAGCTGAGTTAGTGTGAGCTAGCTCACTGGTTTTCAGCCTCCAGCTCACACATTTTTGCCTTAGCTCAGGAAGGATGGGGCTCCAGAGCAACCTAATTTATGCAGCAGCCAAATTGCTTACTCACAACTTTAATGCCAGTAGCTCACAAAGTAGAGTTTCTGCTCACAAGACTCCACAGCTTAAAGGGAGCATTGGTCCAGTCAGCTGTTAGGTTTACCAGCTGATTGGAGGGGAGTGAAACTGACCAGAAGGGGGGCGGGGCTACTTCCCTTTCCTTCCCCAGCCTCTCCTTCGCTGCAGGGGGCTGGGGAAGGAAAAGGAAAAGGAAGCTGCCCATCCACTTCTGGTCAGTTTCACTCCTGGGGGGAGGGATCAGCTGTTAAACCTAACAGTTGATCCATGGCAGTGAAACTGACCAGAAGTGGATGGGCATCTTCCCTGAAGAGCCAGCAAGGCCATGGAGGGGCAGGGTTAAGGAGTGCAGCGCAGTGGGGGGAGGGTCTGGGGGGGTCTGGCATTCTCCCAGGGTGGGGCAGGGCTCATCCCTGGCGGGGCACTGCCCCCAAACGCCCTGCTGTGGTTATGGGCCTGACTGCAGAACAGTGTGTGGGGGGGTCATTTCTGCATTTCTCGCTCACCTCAAACATCTCGTTGTCGCGCAGCGGGCGGTTGGTCATGACGACGCCATTGTTGAACTCGTCCAGGGGGCGCCGCCGCTCGGCCGTCTTGTTGTTGTTGCTGAGCTTGATGAGGGTCCCGCACTTCTCGTGGAAGAGGAGGGCGTCGTTGGAGGTCATGGGCGGGGCCCCGCAGGGGGCCGAGTCCGAGGGTGGGCTGCCCAGGCTGACGTTCAACAGGTTCCCGTTGTAGGCCGACAAGATGGCGTTGCTCACCACCTCGGAGAGCTCCATGCTGGAAAAGCCTGTGGGAAGGAAGGCCAGAGGAAAGGCACAGAAGCTCCCGGGGCGATGGGAAGGCTGGCCCTCCACCTCACATCCCAGAATGCTCGGCGGCCTCAGGACTGCTCGATTCAAGACCAGTAGCATCTTAGAGACCACCAAGGTTTTGAGGGTATGAGCTTTCAAGAATCAAAGCTCCCTTCGCCAGATATCAAAAGCTTGTTGGTTTCTAAGATGCTCGTGGAGTCGAATCTGGCTGTTCTACTGCAGGTCAAGGGTGAACAATCACGACCTAATCAGAGAACAAACGTAAAGAAAACAGTCGTGAGAGTCTGACCCACAGATCAAGCCTTCAACAAGACTTGAAAAGAAGATCCTTTCTGTATATTATGCTCAACAAGCACGACAACACAATAGACAAATTCCTTCAGATCGTAAGAAAACCCTAGTGTAAAAATACATCCTCGACGTCGTCTCCGGATTATATAACAATGTTTCAAAACTGGCTCTTCCTCAGGAAATATCAGAGTAGTACAAAAGCTCTCTTGCTCGTAAAGTGCTTTACAAAATGTCATGAGAGATAATGCACTCAGATAGGACGCTGCACTTAATAAGTATTCAGGCTCAAATAGGCTGCTAAGCTTCTAATGGATCCCAGGCATTTCTGCCACCTTTTGCCCTGCCCTGTGATGGGATCTTGCATGGTACGAACCCCCCAAAAGTAGCACCAGCAGCAGCCTCACGTGCATACAGCGCCACCCCGGTCTCTCCACTCAGATATCCCACTTGGTCTTGGGGGAACAGGAGAAGAAGGGGGACGCTTACCATTCTCTGACTCCAGACTGTTGGGGAACTTATCAGGCCGGTTCTGATTGCAAGGGAGGTCCAGCACTGCAGAGCAAAGGCAGCAGAGGAAGAAACGAGAATCCTGTCAAGATGGCTGAGCAGGTTCACCAATCCCTAGGCCCAGACCAACGGGTCCCTCCCCCACAACTGCAAATTCACAATGATACGTTGCCTGCCTCTCCCACCAACGCTCCCTCTAAGCTGTGGCGTCTTGTGAGCAAAAACTCTACTTTGTGAGCAACTGGCATTAAAGCTGTGAGTGAGCGATTTGGCTACCGCATGAATTATTTGCTCTGGAGCCCCATCCTTCCTGAGCTAAGGCAAGAATGTGTGAGCCAGAGGTTAAAAAACTGTGAGCTAGCTCACACTAACTCAGCTTAGAGGGAACACTGTCTCCCATCCCCAGGCTCATGAAGATCACGCACACTCAAGAGGGCTAGATGGTGCTGGCCGCCGGCTCCCAGAGGAGGCAAGCGCCCCCGCCCCCAGCATCACTAGCCAATCTCACCTGATCCCAGATCTAGTGATCAGGCTGACTCAGCGAAAACCTCCCAGTGAGTCATCCCAAAATAACATGGTACGGAGAGGCTCCACTGTATCCCTCAACACCCCCCTATGTCAGGCGCTGAGGAAAGGGGGAGCCAGTCTGGTGTAGTGCTTAAGTGTGCGGACTCTGATCTGGGAGAACCGGGTTTGATTCCCCACTCCTCCACTTGCACCTGCTGGTGTGACCTTGGGTCAGTCACAAGCTCTGGCACAGCTGTCCTTGAAAAAGAGCAGTTTGTGTCAGAGCTCTCTCAGGCCCACCCACCTCACAGGGTGTCTGTTGTGGGGAGGGGAAGGGAAAGGAGTTTGTAAGCCGCTCTGAGACCCCAAGTGAAGGGTGGGGTATAAATCCAATCTCCTCTTCTTCTTCTTCTACCTCAAGATCAAACAGAGGAAGCAGGAGGCCTCCTACCCCACAAACTAGAGATGGATGATTTCTGGAACTTTGAAGCCACATGGGGAAAAAATAGAATTCTTTCTTTTTTAAACTGATTCAATAACACACGATGCATCATTTAGCAACTCTGCATATAAAATAGTACTCATTGGCACACTTATGGAACGTAGAAGAATACATGTCTTTGTCTTCTGTAAGAGAAGTTGTAATTATACCCCCTACTTGAGAACAGGGTGCAAACGGCTGCATCCAGTGCCACGAGTATCTTAATTTCTGCCATCGGAGAGGTACGGGTGAAAGCTGAAGACAAAAGCAATTTCTGCAGTAAACAAAGGCAGTGTGTCATTTGGAAAGAAACATTCCCATGGTGGTGGAAAGTGCATTAGTCTTTCAGCCAGCTAATGGCAGCCCTGTAGGGTTTCCAAGACGGGAGACAAACAGAGGTGGTTCGCCATGGTCTGCCTCTGGGTAGCAACCCTGGACTTCCTTGGCGGTTTCCCACCTGAGGACTAACCAGTGCTGACCCTGCTTAGCTTCCAAGATCTGATGAGATCAGGTTAGCCTGGGCCACCCAAATCAGGGCAAACTCTTCCATACAATCCCAATATGTATGACTATCTGCATATTTGGACATTAAGCAGAAGTCCCTCAGTGGCTGTTAGCCACAAGGTATAGATAGGAACTCTCGGTCCAGGGCAGGTGATGGCCTGTATTTTTGGTGCGGGGGGGGGCAACAGTGGGAGGGCTTCTAGTGTCCTGGCCCCACTGCTGGACCTCCTGATGGCACCTGGTATTTTTGGCCACTGTGTGACACAGAGTGTTGGACTGGATGGGCCTTTGGCCTGATCCAACATTGGCCTCTCTTATGTTCTTATATGGAGCAGAGGTCCATCAGTGGTTATAGATAGGGGCTCTCGGTCTGGGGCAAGGGATGCTCTGTCTTCTTGGTGCCTGGGAGGGTGGGCAACAGTGGGAGAGGTCTTCTAGTGTCCTGGCCCCACTGCTGGACCTCCTGATGGCACCTGGTATTTTTGGCCACTGTGTGACACAGAGTGTTGGACTGGATGGGCCATTGGCCTGATCCAGCACTGGCTTCTCTTATGTTCTCAAACTTCTTAACACTGAAAGCACAGGTCCTTAATAATATATCGATGGTTACAAAAATTATTAATTTTTAAAAATCTTGGAATGGCTACGTATAAGAAAAAGAAATGAAGAAGAGATTGGATTTATACTCCGCCCTTCACTACCCAAAGGAGTCTCAGAAAACTCCTTCCCCTCCCCCTCCCCACAACAGACACCCTGTGAGGTAGGTGGGGCTGAGAGAGCTCTGACAGAAACAGCTCTTTTTCAAGGACAGCTGTGCCAGAGCTACCGCTTGCCCAAGGTCATCCAGCAGGCGCAAGTGGAGGAGTGGGGAATCAAACCGGTTCTCCCAGATTAGAGTCCGCCCACTTAACCACTACACCAAACTGGTGTAACTACAGTACACGCAAGTATTACTGTTACCTTATGCTGTAGATCATCTTAAAAATTTTCATACTACAGTTTTTGTCTTTCATTTCACTTATTTTTAAAAACATTTCCTTGGAGCTTTTTATTTCTTTTCTTTTGCAGTGGTACCTACAATTTCCCATGGTTTCTGTTGGAAAAATTGCCCCCCCCCCTGTATTTTTCCAGGACTTGACCTCTTTAGATTGATCCTCCATTGAGCGGGGGGGGTTGGACAAGATGGCCAATAGGGCCCCTTCCCACCCTGTGATTCTACGCTCTCTAGCCCAAGCCATCCCAACAGAGGTATCCGTCCAGCAGATGTCTGACACACCCACAACTCCACCCCTTTCTCTTGCTGCTCACACAAAAGTACCTTCATCCTGTGGCGCTCCTTCTTCTGCCTCCTCCGCGCTGCTCGGCACCACTGTGATCTGGGTGCACTTGCCGTATAGATCGACGACCGCCCAGACACGGTGGGGGATACCAGTCGCTGCCACGCCGCAGTCCTGCCCGTTGACCCAGAGCCGCAGCTCCCCATTGGCCGTGCGCTGGATGCCCACCCGATCGCCCTCGCCCAGCTGATCCAGGTCTTGCCCGTACTCCTCCAAGATGGAACGCCCATCCCGCAGCACAGAGCAGCCGGAGATGATCCAGGAGCCACCCTTCAGGCCTGTGGCGCTGCTGGGGAAGTCCAAAAGGTTGGGGTCCAAGGCTGTCACCCCAATCTCAATGGAGCCACTCCAGGAATTCACCTGTGGGGAAAGGGGCACGGTAATTCAGTGTCAGAATTGGGCTCTGCTGATTGTCATGTTGACTAATGTTTTCTTTTGTTTCTGTCTTTGTCGTTCTCTTTCCTTTTCCCCCAACCATTTGGTCTTGACCCTTGCCAGCCCTCTCTGCCATAAAGATTCCGAGGGATGGGAGGGGGAGTAGGTGTGAATGCCATACATCTGTATGTGTGTATGCGGGTGTCAAGTTAGCTTTGCTGGTAACAAACGAGCCCCAGGAGACTCTCATCCTTGAAGAAACATCTGTTGCTAGATAATAAACTTCGTAGTGCGGGGTAGTATGCAGGGGGAGTGAAAGAGGGTGGGGGAGTGAATGCCCGCTGCATGACCATTGCATTATGGGACACTGATCTATTACCTATGCAATGCCTAACCCTTGATCTATTCCTTAGTCTGAACAAGAGATCTCTCTTGTGCACATCTAAATCTCTGTTTCTAATAAAGCTTTCATGAAAAGACTATTAGGCCGAGAGTGGATTGACTCAAGGGTCTGAGATTCAGCAGAGACAGACCAACAGTGCCTCCAACAGCAGGGAAAAGTTAAAACTTTCTTGAACACACAGAAGTCAGATTTCTAGTTAATTACGAAGACACTGGAGCTGATGGTAGTTACTTATTGGACAGTACTCTCCATGTGCACAGAGGTACTTATTACTCCCCATCTCCTTGGGCTGACCTCTTGAAGCAGAGAAAAGGAGAGTGCTTGTCTATACAACACAACCCTCCAACATACATGCAACCCTCCACAGGGCCTACAAGACGGAGCTCTTCCACCAGGCCTTCAACTAAGGAGCCACCTTCACTACTACGACCAACAATCATCGTTATAGATCCTGGCCCTTAATTTTAACATCTGGCCTGTGCTGCCGCGTGACTTAGGAAGATCGCCAAGCTGAAAACCGTTGTCTGTATGCACCCTTCAGTACGCCATTTGAAGTATCTAATGAAATACGCCCAGCTCTTTATGATTTCAGGATTTTACGAATCTATTTGTAATTGAATTGTTCAAATGTTTTTATATGGATTTTAATGGTGATCTGTGTACCAACCAACGGAAGCCACCCTGAGCCAGTTTCCGGAGAGGGCGGGGTACAAATTAAATAAATAATAACAATAACAACATGGAGGGGTTTTTAAAGACCCTGTGGAGAAACAGCCCCACAGTCAATGCACCAGAGATGGGTCAAACTCTCTCCATTAGCGACAGGGCTTTCTTTCATTCCTCTTTCAACCCCCCTCCCAGCAATCTTTGTGAATTATGAGCTACCCAGGAGTATTAAGATCTGGCCAGAATTTGCTGAGATGAGACAGGATAAGGAAGAGTATATTGCCAAGTGGTCCCGAACAATATTCCCTCTAAGCTGTGGAGTCTTGTGAGCAAAAATTCAACTTTGCGAGCTCCTGGCATTAAAGTTGTGAGCGAGTGATTTGGCTACTGCATAAATCAGTTTGCTCTGGAGCCACATCGTTCCTGAGCTAAGACAAAAATGTGTGAGCCGGAGGCTAAACAACTGTGAGCTAGCTCACACTAACTCAGCTTAGAGGGAACACTGGTCCCGAAATACCCATATCCTGCAGGATCTGACCATAGTGAGCCCCTCTAGACATGGGCCCATATGACACACTGCCTTCTACCGTGCCTGACCCTTAGTCTGCAGAGCTCTCCAGCAGAGAAAGGTCCTTCCCAGCATCACTCACCTGAGAGCCTTTACTAAGGATGTTGGAAACCAATGCTCCCGGCTAAGCTATGGAGTCTCGTGAGCAAGAATTCTACTTTCTGAGCTCCTGGCATTAAAGTTGTGAGTGGGCAATTTGGCTACTGCATAGTTTGCTCTGGGGCCATCCTTCCTGAGCCAAGACAAAAATGTGTGAGCCAGAGGCTAAAAAACTGTGAGCTGGCTCACACTAACTCATCTTAGAGGGAACACTGACTGAACCTGGGACTGTCGTGCACACAGCATAGGAGCTCTGCTCCTGAGCTACAGCCTCCACGTATTTATTTTTCATTTACATTATTTATACTCTGCCTTTCTCACTGACACTCAAAGTGTTTTACATAGAATAAGTCAAATTGTGGGAGGGGCCACGGTGAAGAGGAAGAGCATCTACTTAACATGCAGAAGGTCCCAGGTTCAATCCCCGGCATCTCCAGTTAAAATGATCAGGCAGTAGGTGATGGGAAAGACCTCTGTGCCTGAGACCCAGGAGAGCTGTAAAGAAGGGCCACGGCTCAGTGGCAGAGCCTCTGCTTGGCATGCAGAAGGCCCCAGGTTCAATCCCCGGCATCTCCAGTTAAAAAGGACCAGACAGCAGGTGATGGGAAAGACCTCTACCTGGGACCTTGGAGAGCTCCTGCTGGTCAGAGTAGACAATACAGACCTTAATGGACCAAGGATCTATTTGGGGCTGTGGCTCAGTGGCAGAGCCTCTGCTTGGCATGCAGAAGTTCCCAGGTTCGATCCCCAGCATCTTCAGTTAAAAAGGACCAGACAGCAGGTGATGGGACCCTGGAGAGTTGCTGCCAGTCTGAGCAGACAATACTGACATGGATGGACCAAGGATCTGATACAGTATAAGGCAGTTTCATGTGTTCAAACACAACCCACAGGACAGGTCATCGAAGGAACAGTAAAATCGGACTACACAAATTTGAAAACAACCAGAAATCTCAAGCAGAGCTGGAAACAAAACATAAGCATGTAAACATGATACAGCAACCGTGTGGGTCACTTCCCCCCCCCAAAAAAAATTAGAATGACACATTCCAAAAGCACAGTACAGCCTCTATTTTCCTCACAGTGTCAACATTCAAGAAATTTACACTCCAGTGGCACCCTGAAGACCAACAAAGGTTCATTCAAGGTATGAGCTTTCGTTGCAATTCAGGGTCCAGTGGCACCTTCAAGACCAACAAAGGTTCATTCAAGGTAGGAGCTTTCGTGTGCAATTCAGGGTGCAGTGGCACCTTGAAGACCAAACAAAGGTTCATTCAAGGTAGGAGCTTTCGTGTGCAATTCAGGGTCCAGTGGCACCTTTAAGACCAACAAAGGTTCATTCAAGGTAGGAGCTTTCATGTGCAATCTAGGTTCCAGTGGCACCTTTAAGACCAACAAAGGTTCATTCAAGGTAGGAGCTTTCGTGTGCAATTCAGGGTCCAGTGGCACGAAGACCAACAAAGGTTCATTCAAGGTAGGAGCTTTTGTGTGCAATTCAGGGTCCGGTGGCACCTTGAAGACCAACAAAGTTTTATTCAAGGTAGAATCACAGAATCATAGAATGTTAGAGTTGGAAGAGACCTTGCAGGAGCATAGCCGAAAGACAGCCCTACAACATACCCGAAAGGTGGTCGCCCAGCTTCTGCTTGAAAACGTCCAACGAAGGAGCACCCACCACCTCCCCAGGCAGTCTGTTCCACTGCTCAACCACTCTGACAGTTACGGAGTCTCTCCTGATATTCAGCCGGCATCGACTCCCTTGTCATTTCCACCCATTCGATCTAGTCTTGCAAGAGGGAATAGATCTGCTCCATCTTCTCCATGACGGCCCGTCAGACATTTGGAGAGGGCAATCATGCGAAGCACACGAAAGCTCCTACCTTGAATGAACCTTTGTTGGTCTTCAAGGTGCCGCCGGACCCTGAATGGGCTCTACTGTTTCAGACCAACACGGCTGCCCCACCTGGATCTAAAATCCCAGAAAGCAAATTATGCTGAGGTTTATTATTTCTTTTTTAGGAGAATAATCCCTTTGCCAAGAATCCAAAGACAGCCCAGCATCTATCTCCCCTTAAGGCCGCTCAGATTTAAGAAGATCCCCCCCCCCTTCCCAAAGGGAGGAAAACTGTCGACCCTCTGCCCTCCCCCCCAAAATTATGCTGAGGTTTATTATTTCTTTTTTAGGAGAATAATCCCTTTGCCAAGAATCCAAAGGCAGCCCAGCATCTATCTCCCCTTAAGGCCGCTCAGATTTAAGAAGATCCCCCCCCCCTTCCCAAAGGGAGGAAAACTGTCGACCCTCTGCC